GTCATCGATGATGTTACGACGATGGAAAGTTATAGGTTTGGCGGTGAATTGACACTTCCGCCACCGCGGAATTCGAATCGATTGTATATCGATTTTACCAATCTGGAAACAATTTATTTTTCAAATCGTCTTCGGTCTTACTGGGGGTGAATACAATTTAGAAATAGCAAGGAGACAATAGAATGATAATGTAGTAATGAGAATAGAATAATAAATGATTTAATACAATATAGAATAATATAGTAAATATAAGTATAAATTTGCCAATACAGAATTAAATAAAACCTATGAGCAACATTGAATGATATATGCAACGAAACGAAAAAAAATGTAATATACTGTAGTAAAAATAAAATACAGTAGTACACAGTATAGTATAGTCAGACAAAATTTTATAAATACACCGAGTAGAATATCAAGTAGGTAGAGAAAGATAAAATCAAATAATAAGAATAAGCGAAGTAAATACAAATAAATAAATAAATACTAAAACTCGTGTTGTCTCGTCCCCTTTGAAATATGATGACACATGACACTGTGTTGTTTAGCTACTTATACGCACGGTGTTCACAATAATAATCATTAACACTAAAACTACTGATCACTAAAACTGACTTTTACAAACTTCTTTATAAAAACCATAAGCGTGCGTTCATCAACACGTTCGCGGACGTGAAATGCTATAGCAATCATCTTCATTGTGACGCCAAATGACTCGGATGCTATAACATTTAAATTTATAAGCCACATTACCACGCATTTAATTCTATACAACCTTAATTTTTTGAAACTATAATGCACTTTACTTTCGGAGAACTAAATTTGCATTTTTTGCATATTTGCAGCTCATTAAAATTTTTACTTCGCGAACGTGTTAGGGTATCAATTGAGCTATATTTCAGTTTTGGTATTACTTAATTAGCTTCATTAATAATTCTTCATAGAAGTATCCGTACCTCCTCAGTAATTATAAAAAAAGAAATCAGAAATAAGTGATTTTGAGCCATCTGGCAATTCTAGTGTTAATATCCAGCGTCCATCAAAAATTTGATTCCAACATGTTTAATCGGGATATAATAATCGCCGTGTCGACAGAGTGGTGGAAACCCGACGACGACGAGACGGACTGACAAATATATCAGTCCTGTCCCACGCAGTTTTAAAGCAAGTAGCCAACCGAAGACAACTTTGGGGTTGCAGTCATGGAAGGATTTCACTCGAACGCGTTACACTGAGACACCACGTGTTTCGCGACGTTACACCAGTCGTCGTATCCTAAATAAGTAATTCAAATTAATTGATTGAAACTAGCGTTTTAAACCGGTCAGTGATCTTTAGTGATGATCTTTGTGAGCCGTTGAGTTCCTTCGAAGAAGGTGCCAGACATGCAGCGAGTCCTTAGCTTCCAAATGGCTCGCGGGCTCACCGAGTCCAGCGAGTTAGTGACGAAACGAATGTGCTTTTCGTTCCTCTTTTCCGTCGGGTTTCTGTGTCTCCTCTGCGGCTTCCTACTGGGTCGTTTTGCCACGCAAAGGGCCTTCGAGTTTCGCGCGGAAAAGAAACGCCTCGAATTAGCGGGAAATGGCCTGGACAGCAACGAGTACCTGCAGCGTTTGATCCTCGAGAAGCTGAAATCGACCCCACTCGATGACGATTTCGAAGTGTACGTGCAGTTTTTATTTATGAATTATTAATTGGATTTAAGTGTGTTTATTTTCATTTAAACAGAACATGGAAATCATTCACCTCGCGGGAGGACGATGTGCACCGAGCGAATGGGATCCTGTCGAATTTCTCGATGATTCACAGAGTCGTAGAATATCGATCGTGTATCGTTGCAACTGTTCAAGGATCCAGAGAACCTGGTGATTGAAAGTCTACACTTTGGTGTAGTTTGGATTCTTAAAGGTTTTGTTTCATTTCGTGTTGAATGTTTAGACAGGTATGTCGTTCTGTCAGCGAGCGACGAGGGTGTCAGTATTGCTTTGAAATTGGCGAAAATTTTTAATGATATTCAAAGGGAACATGGCTGGAAACCTCGCAGATCTCTTGTTTTTTGTCTGTTCTTTGGTCCTGTGGATCCGTGCGTTGAAACATTGCCTGGTTTTATGAGACACAGAATTCTAGCTTATATCGCGGTTCCTTATCAAGCACTGCAAGGTTTGGTAACATTGGCTTGTATCATGAGGATGTACGTTGGGATTCTTTTATATAATTCTAATTGTTTGTAGGTAGAGGTCCTTTGGTTTTGTCGGGATCTGATGTAGTACAATCTGTTGCTTTACAAGCTGCCAAAGTTGTAAAGAATTTGTATTCATACGATGATCAATTGGTATTTTTAAATAATATGTATTACAATTCAACAATTTCCCAGTTAGCATTAGATATACCTCATGCAGTATTATCATTCATGGTAGGTAACAGCAATAATAAGTGCAATTATTGCAGTATGTAATTTAAATTTTTTTTATGATGTTTAATATTGTTTTTATATGATAATAGAATAACAGCTTTACATTCGATGATGATGATCATCAAAATGAGTTACATAAAGTAATTTTAGCGCAAATTCTTAGTCAAACTGTTTGGAGACTGTCTGAATGTTTAATCATGAAATGGGATCCAAGTTATTTTAATGATACCGTCTCAAATGCATTGAAATCTATAAATAGTTCGCAATTTTTAGAAGCCAAAGGTATTGGGGATATTTAGAGAAAACAGGTTTGAAAACATTAAATAAGATTATATTTTTTTTTAGAAAAAATACAAGAAACTTCAGTCAAACTGTTAAATAATGTTCAGATTTTAAATGGAGGGATTGACACAATTGATAGCACCAAGTACGAAATTTTAGTGTTTATATAAATTTACAGTATTTATAAATATATTAATACCTCAAGAAAATAAAGAATCTATCCTTTTTGTATGTTACAGTACATTCAATACAAGGATATTAAATGATTTAATGATGGACTTGGATAGAGCTCTTCTATGCCCTGATGAAAATTTTCGATCCAAAACTAATTGGACAGAATTTTTTAGTCTAAATCACAAGCCTTATAACATAAGCTTAATGTATCTTAAAGAGATGGTAAAGTGTTACGAAACTGTAATTCAGTTATTACAAAATAGATAGGAAAAATGCAAAAATATAAAAAGTTTAGGTATAAAATTCTCTTTTAAAATGACTGTGGTAACTGCAGACTACCACTGAAACCTATAGCACACTGATGTATAATTTTCAACATTTTTACCATATGCCTAGTTTAACTTTACATTCAGTAGTTCCTATTTTCCATTTGTATATCATTATTAATTGCACAGATACACATTTATAAATATACAAGGAAGTACAAAGCATGTATTACTCTGCCTGTGATAAATAAGATGATGCAAAGAGTTCCAAAATTTGTATCAGCGAACATACCCTATACCATACCGTATCTCTCTTTCAAACTGTGAAGCCTCGAGGGTTCCCTCAATAGCTGTACAGTTCGGATTAAAAACTGAATAAGCACTCAGTTCACCTGGTTTCTTTGGTCTTGTGTGAGTATTTATCCAAATAAATATTAACATAGATAAGACCAAATATACCGTTCCGAACTCAAATTCAATTGCAATTACATATAAGATAACCCAGAGAAGGAAGCAGAGCAGGTACATTATTGTCTTGAGTAACGTACATTGAGACTGGTCTATGCTATCATCCGAACAGCTGCTTTCTGTATCCTGGAGATCCTGTAAGCTTTCAATACTTAACCACACCAATCTGTCGTGTTTGTTTCACAATAAATATCACTTTAGTTTCGTTTCACGAGGAAAGTTTATTATATGTTAAAGGTTCAAATTTTAAATCACCACAATATACATTCCACATACATGCCAAATACGTTTGTCAGACTACTGTCATTTCAAGTTTACTTTAACGCACCGCATAAGTAGTATAACCTTACCTCGACGTTGTTCGGTGACGCTACCAGCAACAATTCTTTGGCATCTTCGTTTTGGTTCCATGGTAAAACAGTCTGTATAGCGTGTTTAAGGGATTCCGTCATTCCTTCCCTGAATTTCTGACGTCTATAAGCATTGAGTCTCTCTTTTATACTGGCCTCGTTCATAACGACCGCTTGACGTTACTTGCCTACTTGTCAAATCAATCGAGTTGCTACGTTCATACTCCAAAAATCATCTGTTCGTACACAAGTTCGCTAATTAATTCGAATACAGAACATTCTACAGTCAATTTCAATTTACTTTGGAACCCAATCGATTAGTCGTTCATTGCACCTTATCTATGTACTAAATCAATAATTGTCGTCACAGCAATACTTTCAAACCATCATCAGGAGTCACATGTCTATATTTCCCATATATCCAGAAAGTGTGGAGAATTGGAACTCCATTCGTTTCACGATACACCGTTAACAAATTATTACATCGACACAAACATTTTTATTTCTTTTCTGTATAGAAATACATACTGAATATTTTACTCGATCATAATAGGTTATTGTTTACCAATAGCTTCTTATTTAATTTATGATTTTAATAAGCTTTTAATAATAAATTTGAGTAATATCACAGTTTATCCAATGTTGATTATTACTTTTAACAGAGTGAATTCATTCAAATGTCAAAATACAAATCTTTCATTATGGAAGATTCATTTATGTCATTTATTTATGAAAACTATATAAATCATTAAAATCCGTTTATTTGCTATGTCTGGTAACCGTTTATTTAATTGTTCTACATTATGTCCATAATTACAGGTGAACAATATTGAAATTATTCTCCTTTTTGTTTAACTGTGTTTAAATTTCTGTTACTGGTTCTAAGTTACTGTATTAATTTAATGCTGAAACGTCACGTCGCGATATTCAATTTAATCAATAAAGAATATTTTATATCGGCAATTCTGTATTACTTGTTATCTAAAATTTCAATATTTTTGATTCTCATTCCTATCACCCATAGCGTTGCCATGCAAAACAACCTTAGTCGATATGATAGGGCGTGATATGAAAATGGTAAAGGGTAAAATTTTACATTGCACGTATGCTATCCTATACCTCGTCTGTAATGTAAGCAAGTACTTGCATACCAACATTTTATAGATTTCTGTGAACCATACCAGACTAACTTATCGACTTAGAATTTTCAGACTGATTACAACAACTTCTTCTTATGGACAACAATTATTTGAAGAACACTAATATTGGAACAGATAAATAAATAACATTATACATAATTGTATAATACAATTATTATTATTATCTATAAATGATTGTATAACAATTAAGACCCAGAATTTGTTTAATAGTATATTATAAAAAATCTGGGACAATTATAATAAATTATTTACCATAGTTTATACAGTCCATGGTTATTTAAAAACATTACAGAAGAAATTCAGAAATTATAGATTTAGTTTATTAATAGTAATTTTATTTTCACTATAAGCAGCAAGATCAATATACATTATAAGTAGGAAATTTAAAACTAACTTAGAATACGTAGATATTACTTATACGTTTCGTATTTTTAGTAACCCCTTGGTCCTCTGAATCTTCTTCTTCCATCAATCTAAAACATATATATGAATATATATAATCATGCCTATGTCATGTATATAAAAAATGATGATTTAATAATTACTATTGAATGTTTGCACTCAAAAAACATCTGACGCAATGAATAACACTCATCGGGCACAGATGGGTGCCCTTGTAAGAGGCATTGCTTGGGTGTAATTCTATGCTGTAATAAATTAATAATATTATCATCCAACTATCCTGTTTCAAATCATATCTTTGTCTACCTAACGATAAAAAGTTGCATACGTAAACGAATCAATACAAACTTCTAAGTATGTAATATAATCATGGAGGTTAGAATATCTATCAGCGCGTAGTATAATTACTTACAATTTTGCAACAATCAGTTTCTAATAAACACATTTTTAAGTTTGCACGTAAATGCGCACATCTTGTTTTGTCCTTTAGTTGTTCACCTTCTGCCGAAAATTTCATCATTTTGAATACTACTTGGTATTAAAATGCTCTTGAAAAATTGTTTATATTATGTACTGATTATGTTTCCTTTTATTCATGGACGGAAACCTAACCTTACTTTGTGACGAAATTCTGATAGAAACACAACACATATGGTCAACGGAAAGCAGTTGTGTTCAGTGCTCGAGCGAGCTGAGATCCGGATAATTATCGAATCTTGAAATGTAATTTATTTTTAAATAACATTTATAACGAGTGATAAGAAATAACAAGGGCTAAATGTAAATGACGACAGTGACAGTTTTGGTTGTTTTTCTGATGACGTTTGACAGCTCACATATTTAATGCATCAAGTTGGATTATTTAAAAATTAACATAATTCTCGACAAATTTTTGCTTCATATTCATTTCGCTATGTAATTTCTTCATCACTGTTGCATTTTTTATGTCATTGTAGTATTATTAAGGATGACCTATAGCACCATTTATTTCAGACAAATGGTTTACCAACGTGGAAGTCAAAGGGAGGGCTCCCCACATTATGTGTTTTTATATTCCGATGATGAAACTAGTGAAGATGAAGATAACATTCCTCTGCAGCCAAGAAAAAAGACTGCATCCTTACCACGTAAGGTGGAAGTCATTAATGTGCAATTGAAATCGGAAGATACTTTACAAGCTTTGGCATTGAGATACAGATGCACGGTAATTATAAAAAAGGAAAATATATCAAATATAAATTGTGCTAATAAATATGATCTATAAATTGTGCTTCTAGATATCTGAGATAAAAAGGATTAACAAAATTCATAAAGAGAATGAAATTCATGCAAGGCGCTTCATAAAGATACCAGTTCAACCGTTTTCATTGTTAACTGAAACTGTGGAAGAGATTCAAAGTGAACAAGCAGGTTCCAGTGAAGTAAGTATGTCTACTGCTAACGAAGAGGTCATAAGTACATCTATACAAAATCCATTATTGAATATAATGAAGAATCCAGTTGTAACTCAGTTGCCAAAGGCAGAGATTAATGCAATAATATTAAATTCAGTATGTGAGCCTTTATCGTCATACAATAATAGCAATTCTTTAGAGATAGTTAGCGCAGAATCTGACCAATTGCTTACTTCAACAGATAGTAATTCAAATGGCACTCATGTAACAGACACATTTAAATGTTCTGGCGACGACTGTGGATTATCCTGGACACAGCTCCTTGGGTTTTCCCTATTATTAGGTTTTGCAGGGCCTATTATATATATACTTTATATAGCAGAATTCTCATCTAAGAATCATTCAACCAATAATCACTAATAATACTTTAACAAAAGTATTCACAAAGGTTGCAACAATGACATAATATTAAGAGCTTTTTCATATCAATGACATTATAGTAAAATAATAAATTTAAAGTCTCTGTCTACTTGCCATTACATGACTGATCTTAGCATGAAAAAGATATTCAGTGAAAGATCTGAAAATGTTATTTTCTTATATTAATAGTACATAAACAGGATATATTTTTTATTGAATGGTAAATAAGTTTTACAATATATAAGTTAAAGTGCCTTTGCGAGCATTAAATCCATTAATATTGTATAAAAAAGTTGTGAATGTTTTTGCATGTATGAATATATATTGTTAAACTGAGTACTATGTGAGTACTGTACATATAATTGAGAGATCGCCAAAGATGTATCCACTGGCAGTTGAACTGCTGAGAAGGATTTTGTACAGAAAAAAATACGAGATATTCTTTTTTAAAGCCTTGACAAGCACACATGATATTAAACGACTTTTAATTGCACTTTTTTATATTATCAGTATTAAAAAAATATATATATATACATATGATTAACACTGATGAAATCAACTGTTTTATGTCCTTAATATTGTGTTTGCTTTAATAAAATATAAACAAATCATAGGAATTGGATGGAATATCTATGTATATGGTAACATTTTTATGTAATCATGACAATAACTATTTTATTCGATATTATGTAAATTGTGCATTTGATATTTTCTTGTTGAAAACTTTAAGAAATATATTTTTTAACATTAAATTATGCTTCGTTTATTCTATCCTTTGTCACTCATTCCTTAGTTATGAACTATACTATAGAAACTAAATAAGTCCAAAATTGTTTCAGTAGAAATATTTCTTATTTCTTTATTTATTTTTTAAGTCATAAGTTACAAATCAAAGTGGTGATTCATGTATGTTGTAACTTTATCAGCCTGATGTGTCTCACCTTCTATTTCCACTTTATATTCATTCCGCGATTTGCTATAACAAATGAAATGTAGGTGAAACAAAGTTTTCCATTTGTAAACAAATGAAAAAATACCGTAATTAATAATATATTCAGAACACGATATATCGTTCAATCTAATAAATTCAGAAGACCGTCGTTAGTTTCATCATATTGTAGTTACTTTGTTAATATCAAGTGTTAATACTGAAGTTATAATATCTTACTGACCACTGATTGTATTTCCTGCAATCTTAGAACTTTTTGAAACTCTTTTTTGATCCAGTTCCCTTGGATACTTTCAGAACATTGAATCTGACTGTTTTACTGAGGGGTCTGCATTCTCCAATTGTGACTACATCACCAATTTCCACGTCTCTGTAGTAGAAAATAATAATAGCAATAACAACATAGAACCATTTTTAACTAAATGAATATAGAAAGAAACAATATTCAGTAGACGAATTATCTCTTTCAAAACATTCTTCAGAAGACCGTCGTCAATATCATCATACAATTCATACATACATTCAAGTAAAATAATTACACATTACAAAATGCGTTGATACTAACCTGAAGCAAGGACTAAGGTGGACACTCATGTTACGATGACGTTTCTCAAACCGATTGTACTTTCTAATATAATGCAGATAATCCCTACGTATAACAATGGTCCTTTGCATTTTCATCTTTTGTACAACGCCAGTGAGAATACGTCCTCTGATAGAGATGTTGCCAGTGAATGGACATTTCTTATCAATGTAAGTTCCTTCAAGAGCCTAGAAAACATTGATAATACAATGTTTAAAAAGAGTTTAGAATTCTTTAAATTATGTTGCTTTTCGAATGAATAAACAGGATACATACCTCACGAGGTGTTTTGAATCCAAGACCAACATTACGGCTGTATCTCATGGGCTTCCTTCTCTTAGGGCCCAGACCTTTCTTGCGGTTAAGAAAGATCGTGGGCTGCTTTTGAAACGAACGTTCACTCTAAAACAGAAAAATATATTTTAAAGTCTACCATCCTTCTCCGGTAATTATCAAACGCGTAGACTGGTTCAACAAACGAACCACGTGTAGCGTTTATGCAAAAGGTAATAACCTTTTCATAGGAATTTGAGATAACAAATTCTTTTCTCTCATTATGAACAGTTATATTAACAGTAATGACAACAGTAAGAATATTTAGCGAGGAATTCAATTAAACAGGAAATATTGTACACATTACTCTCGTTAACAATCAACACGTACCTGATCAGCCATCTTGCCTTACTGAAAGAACGACCGAAACCGGAAACACGACCAATGTCATATTGCATATTCGAATCTTCAGGTCAGCCAACATAAAATGGTAATATGTCAGTAAACAGGACCTGCAGATTTAAGTTTGGTTTAAATTATTTGAAAAACTTTTTGCAATTACAATCGTACACTACTTTTAGTGGAGTATGAATATCGTCTACAAAAAAGGTCATAGAGCATTGAATAACGTAACAATATCTTACCTTTTTACCGTATTTACCAATTGTACAGAAATAAGTAGTGATGCCATCTATGTTCCATAATCTAAGTTACACAAAAAATTACAAATGCTATTGATATATAAAAAATACCATAATCACTGATGAGGGACTATATAATTCTGCAAACTTAATAATAATATAATTTTTAGAACTGGTAATACTAAAAATTGGCTTTTCAAGTACATACTTTTCATGTTGCAGTCTTATATAGTTCAGTAAGTTAACTTAATTTAGGTAGAGTCCGCTAAGGATTTTTTATGGTGTCGGTATTTTTAAAAATTATTATCTTAACGGCTTTTTAATAGATTACTCACGACTATTCTGTGTTATTAATAAAATATTCACTACATACTTGATAATGGACAATTAATTACAACATTTAGATTTATTATATAAATTATATAAATATTGTATTATATAAATATTATATAAATTATCTTATATAAAAAAAAAATTATCATTGCACGTTTATCTAGCTGAATCTCACCGCATTAGATAGCATAATTTATAATATAAACATTTTTGCAAATAATCACCGTTTAAATGATTTTTGGTCGGGGTCACAGGTGACCCACTTGGCATTCTACGTGTTAAAAGTACGCAACCCACATTACAAATCGACTGAAACAGACACAATATTGGAGTTTCCATAGGAAAATTAGAAAATCAAAATGAATTACTCGGTAGTCTAGTGTTGAGTCTGTGTCGGTTCGAATATAAATTTTAACCTCGCCACTTTAAATCGTAGAGGGCGTATCGAACGTGTTTGTTTTACACGATCGGTATTTCAGATCATCGAACACAGTCTCATCAGAGAATTAGTCTATCCTCTTTCTCGTTAATTATTGGATACTTAACTGTTTACATTCGAGAGGTGACTCTCAGTCATCACTTGATTCGATGCAGTAAAACTATAAAATTTGTCATTCAATATTGAACTGTGTATAAAATATTGAGACGAAAAAACTTTGTCTCTTAATTCACTTACGATTTCACCTTGAATCAATTTAAAAAAATATCGTCTATATCCAGTTAAAAAATGTTAAATATTTACTGACATTTACTGTACAGTTTGTTATATCGTTCTTAGAAGAATGAATATCCATTCATTTAGATTTTAGAGATTACAGGGTTAAAAATAGACGATCGGTATACATTTGTGTAATTGTAAAATGCATCCAAATGTTTACCAAATAATCTTTACAAAATACAATACGAGTCAAATTGACTCGTTTTCTAAATCTAGTGTTAACTGTAAATTTCTCTTTGATATTTTTTAATTTATACTTAATAAATAGTTAGAAGATTCTTCTAATTTGTCAAATAAATTCTCAATCTTTAAATTGACTCGTTTCGTAAATCTAGTATTAACTGTAAATTTATCTTTAATATTTTTTTAATTTATACTTAATAAATACTTCTTAGAAGATTCTTCTAATTTGTCAAATAAATTCTCAATCTTCCAACGTTCTTTAAAAAATTCCTTTCTCTTTCGGTAAGTATACAAGTCGAGTTGAAAATCTGCGTTGCCGACTGAGTGAAAATGAAAGTAACCAGACACCGATTCACATGCGTTGCCTAGGGATGCGTGCAACGGAAGTGCCATTTAGTGGTTTAATAGAATTGGCGGTTCACATTTGAAGCGTCATGTCGGAAAGCGATAAAGTTTACATGAAATTATCGTTCAATCAACGGCTTAGTTACAGTCAACGGCAGAAAGTCAAAGAATTTTGGAGATTTCTCGACTCCGAGACTCATTTGAAGCCATACACTGTATCCGCAGGTATTAGTCTCAATTCTAACTTACATTTGTGTCACATTCAGATTCCAACTTCCATTTGTTTAACAAATTTATCAATCGATCAAGTTTAGATTCAGCTTGACTCGTATCTCTTCTAGTAGTATGAAATCTGTTAACCCTTTGCTTGAAAATGGCTTTCAGTCGCCATTTAATTTGACCTAAAAAAATGATAAAATTCCAAATTCAATATTAAATTTTTATGTAACGCATCAACACATGGAGCGTCGAAGTAAAATAGTTCTGTCACTGAATTTATGCAAAAAATATTGATATTCCATCCGAAAATAATGAATATTTATTGAGAAAAAATTAATTAACCCCTTGACATACAATGACGTCTCGGAGACATCATTCATTTCATGTGCCGTTGTAGATTTTGACGTCTCCGAGACGCCAAGAACTGTGCTCCACATATTTCAAAATGTTTTGAGATGTTTCACACTTTACAGAACTACTAAATTATTATTTCATAGTATTACTTAACCGTTTGGATGCTAAACAACTTTTGTGGATGTTTACCAAAAATGCGGTAGTGATTGGGTGTGTATGCAAAAAAATTAACAAGAGTACTTATCTAATGAGATCACAAATATTGTGTTATTACAAAAAAATATCAAAAAATAACATTTATTCAAATAAATTTACTTCGATCTGTTTCTTGAAAAACATAGTAAGAGAATTATAATTGATACTGATAAACAGGAAGAAGAACAAACAAGAAGAGCGCTATAGCGTTCCTCAGCACTCAAACGTTTAATTATTGTACATTAACATTATATATCAACCATATTGAATGTTAAATTTGAAAATAAAACGTTCTGTTTCTAAGCTTGCACACGAGCGTCCAGTTGAGTGAAATTAAATGGTATTCTTCGGACGCGTCGACTCGCATTTTATTTGTACGTCGAGGGGTTAAGTATTTCGTTACTATAAAGTAGCGTTCTTTAGAATCTAGAAATGTTTTCGAGTAATCATCGTTTAATCGAGTGAACCATAGTAATTCGGTTCGTTTGGGTGTCGAACGGCACATCGAACGTGTTCGTTTTACACGATCGGTATTTCAGATTATCGGACACAGTCTCTTCAGAGAATTAGTGTATCCTCTTTCTCGTTAATTATTGGATACTTAACCCTCTGCACTCGAGAGGTGATAATCAGTCGCCACTTGATTCGACGCAGTAAAACTATAAAATTCGATATTCAATATTGAACTGTGCGTGAAATATCGGGATGAAAAAGCTTTGTTTCTTAACGAAGATTTCTCGAAATACACAAAAGCTTCAGCAGATGAAACTGAATTACCTATCAACTGCTTGATTAATATGAAAAAAGGAGACCACCTGCTGATCTCTTGCTGTTTGAGTAATTAAATCATTCGGCCGCAACTTACTCTTCGAAACACGAAAACTTCATGTCGCCGAAACGTCGACTTTCGTCCGCGAAGGGTTAATATTGCACAGTAAAATACGCAAAATGAAAAAAATGTGATATTAACCCTTTGCACCCGAGAGGTGACTCTCAGTCGCCACTTGATTTCACGTAGTAAAGCTATAAAATTTGATATTCAACGTTGAACTGTATATAATGCATCGGTGTGTAAAATATTGGGATAAGAAAGCTTTGTTTCTCAATTCACTTGCAATTTTTCGTTGAGTTAATTTCAAAAAATATCGTCTGTGTCTAGTTAGAAAATGTTAAATGTATACTGACATTTACTGTACAGTTTGTTACATCGTTCTTAGAAGAATGAATATCCATTAATTTAGATTTCAGAGATTAGAGGGTTAAAAGTAGACGATCAGTATACATTCGTGTAATTGTAAAATTCATCCAAATGTTGACCAAATAATATTTATAAAATTCAATACGAGTCAAATTGACTCGTTTCGTAAATCTAGTGTTAACTGTAAATTTACCTTTAATATTTTTTTAATTTATACTTAATAAATACTTAGAAGATTCTTCTAATTCGTCAAATAAATTCTCAATCTTTAAATTGACTCGTTTCGTAAATCTTTCTTTTTAAATTAAATATTTCTGACGAAATACTTCCGAGTGCAAAGGGTTGAATCCTTCGATTGAATTGCATTGTTATTATTGCGCGGTGATCTAGCTGAATGTCACCGTATTAGGTAGCATTATTCGTAATATAGAAAGATTTTCAAATAACCATCGTTTAATCGAACGAACTATAGTAATTCGATTTGGTTGGGGTCACCGGTGACCCCACGGCGTTCAACGCGTTAATTACAGTTCACGGTTATTGAAACTTTCAGATAAAGATCGCACGGAGAAGTTAGATAACGGCAAACATGCCCCAGAGTTACCGAAAACAATGTGGCGGCAGCAACTCAGGCTTTTCCGGGAGCACGGATTAGACAAAGCGGCGCTCACAGGAACCGAAGTCTGCAAACTTTGCAGCGTCGAGGCCACCGACAGGTAACTTCGAATTATCTCTAAGTAAAACAAAGTGAAATTGTATTATTTATCTTTTCCCTTCGGACAGGTGCTCGGAATTCGCTGACACGGTGGAACAGCCATACGAAGAACTGATGAACGATGTGAAAACTTTTGAAGATAAACTAACTACTATAAAGTAGTATTTTATTATTATTTATTATTTACTATTTATTAATTTTTTTATTTATTATTTATTTATTATTTACTTTATAGTAAAAATACTATAAAGCGTAAAACGATGGCAAAAGGAAACAAGAAATATCACGATGTTCCTTTACCCGATGACTATAATCACCTTGTTCTATATGTTCCGGGCAATGTGATAAAGGGGTTACGCATAATCCCTCGGTGATTACGTATAATCATTCTCCAATGTTACTGGCGATTATGCGTAATTTCCAGGGGGTCATGTACATTATGTATAATTGGCGGATTAGGGAAATTCACTGTAACATAAACATACGCAAACAGAGAATGAACTTTTAGTATGATCCATCAAGTGAAACAAATTTCATTAACCCTTTGCACTCGAGTGGTGATTCTCGGTCGACATTTTATTCAATATAATAAAGTTACAAAGTGTTATGTATAATATTAAGTTTCGTATAATGCGTCAATATGTGGAATATTTCTATGAAACAGCTTCGTTTATGAATATAGCGTCGTCTATGTCTCATCGGAGATCGTCGCATGTTTCTAGTGGAAAGCTTCCGAGCGCAAAGGGTTGAAGTCGATAATTCGCAACATAATTTCTGATTTCTAATCAAATAATCGAACACATACTATTTCTATAATCGAAATAATCAATTAACACGTTTAACGCCGGCCCCGCGATAATGCGGGATTTAGTCTATCGTTTAATTGCTGCGTTCATGTAACATTCTATGTACAACACAGATACAAAGTGAAATTTACAAAATCGAATTCCTCGTTCTCTTCCGTAGACATTTTGGTCCAATGTTTAAAGATGCATCAATATAATCACCTCGCGTTGTTAGTAGCTGAAATTTAGCCTTGTTACCAGATACTCTCGAAGGGTAAATAAATTAGGAATTTCTTTCTGGAAATCAACGTTTATCTCGTAAAGGGTCGAACGACCCCTCGCGGTACGTTTAGCGTTAACAAGTGAACGACGAAAGAATACGAGGGCCCGCGCTCCGCCATTTTCCCGTCGAATCGGATACATCGGTTCGCCACAGTTTGGAAACCTCCGGTCCAGTTATTCGCGGGGCCACGGCGGTTCCGAGATACCGGTCGCGTTGTATTCGGCCGAGTCGCCGCTCCCGACCTGTGGAATTGGAAATTGGAACAAGTTAGAATATAGATGAGCGGGATATAACTCACGGTTCCGTGGTTCCGAGGAGTATCGAATTTCTGTGGTGCAGGCGGTCGACGTTGTTCGGTCCGACGCGAGGTACCCCCTGCCATAGGAGCCATGAATGGGCCCGAGGATGCTGAGGATCCTTACACGACATCTGGCCCTCCTCTTGCTCCTCTGTCCGCGGGTCTCTCGCGTTACCCTCTTTACTGCCACTCCAGCGCGCATCTTTAAACGCACGACGCGGGCGTTTAGAGGGAGCGGATTAGGTTGACAAATCTCGCGGGAAACGGGGGACATTCGTCCGTGTCACTGGCGTAGCTCCAGCTTCTTGAAAAATGATTGCAAAGTTAGCGGGTGTTCCGAATCATCCGTCACGACGCGCTGCGACGGTTGTGTATGTGTTTATTAGTTTCTCCTTTGCGATCCACCTGGTTTCGAGCGAAGTTTTCCATTTGTTACGATGGTTTGTTTATTTAATTATTTATTAATTTAGTTATTTTTATGTTTATTCATTTGCTTGTTCGTTTATTTGCCTCTACGTATGTATGTTTTTAAATTCTTTAGTGTAATACTTCATTGTTTTCAGATATCCCCTTGTAATTAATTTATCTCTATTCTAACGTATATGTATTGAATTATTTATTAATTTATTTATTTTCCAACTGTAACACCTATTTCAATCTCAACCCAGTTATTCAATGCAAATTTCGTAATGTCGCAAAACTGCGCTCGATAGAACTACTTTCTACTACGATTTATTTCTCGACTATGGAATATTTGTTAAATCGATGCATCGTACAAGGTATAATGTTAAATATTAAATTTTATATAAATGTATAATTATTATTTAATACTGATTAATTTAGTAGTTTCAATGAGTACCATCTGAAGATATTTATAAAACCTTGTAACACCAACCAACGTATTCGCAAAGTTCTCCATTAACACTAGATTGATGCATAAATTGATGCATTGTACGAAGTTTAATATCGAGTATCAAATTTTATAGTTCCACTCGAGTGCAAAGGGTTAATAATCCTGTTGCATTACGCCTATTAGATTGCTTCGAAGTGTATCGCTCTATACAGAACGATTAAGAAGCAAAATAAGCGTACGTATCAGCGTAAAACAGGTGAAGGCAAAATTCGTCGCAGACTTTGCCAAATTTCGGAATTCATTTCCAGCTGAAGTGGTTAATAGAAGAGAAAGAGAATATCTCGCCGGAGGAGGAGACAAAAGAATGGGCGCGGGACGGGCGGACGGACGACGGTTATATACGGGAGACGTGAGGGGGTCCCGTTGACGGAGATTCGACGAAGCAGAGATGTTTAATCGGTGTTGGCCCGCATCAGGTTGATCGAGGGCCCCCCACAACCGGGTGTTCGGCTGTGACGTCGACGACGACGTTGAGGACAAGAGTCTGGAGAGGAAGAGGGAGGAAGAAAAATTGAGAGAGAGGGAAAGAGGGATTGAAACAGAGAAAAACTGACGGGGGGAAATTGATAGGGAAAGAGTGAGCGAGGAAGGAGGAATTGCGAGAGAAAAAGCGACTAATTGATAGAGAGGGGAAGAGGGGAGAGAGATTAGAGGAAATAGAAATTGATAGAGATTGGGAGAGTGGAATGGAGAAATTGGGAGAGGTTAAAAAGATTGGAAAAAAATTGGCAGAGAGATTGAACGAGAAGCATCGAAAGAGGAGACGCATTGGAAAAAGTTGAAAGATTGAAAGAGAGAGAGGGAGATTGAAGGGAAAGATTATTTTTTAATTTTGTCATTGACATTAGTCTATTTACGCAATTTGAACATTGACAGGAAATACATTTTTGTTTCCACTAAAATCGCAATTAAAACATTAAATGGTAACTACTTCCGACGAGTGTACACGTCGCATCTCAAAATCTTGTCATTCTTTCGTGACTGGTAAAAACAGCCAATTGGTTAAAAAAGAGAGGAAGAGAAAGATTGACGGAGACAAGGAAATTCAGAGAGACAGCGAGAAAGAGAGAGAGAGGATTGAAGAGAGGGATAGAATGAGAGAGAAAGGAATTGATAGGAAGAGATTGAGAGAGAAAGAGAGTCGCGGGTGTGCGTTGACGGGCGGGGTGAAGGGAGCGCAAGCGGAACCGGGGTGGATACCAGGGGAGAGGCTGCGCCGTGCCGATGAAGCGAACAATGGAGGCGGGATGCTCATTTGTCTGCGGGCATTGTTGTTCACCCGGCCGGAAACACGAGCTCCGTGCTCTCCTTTCTCTCTCCCACCATCGATGGACCTCCCTCCACCTCAGTCCCTCTTCCACGACCGACCTCCGCCGCCCCCTCCTTGCCGCTCGTTTTCAACTGGACCACCGTGTACCCCCTACCCAGCTGATCAACCGTGCTACCACCAATCGTACCTGAGATTTTTTGGGGTAGACGATGAATTTACTTGCAGCTAGTTTCGTCGATGACTCTTTTCTATTTTTCTCGAAACTTTAACGATTAACAATTGAAATCTAATATTTAATCTCTATTAAGAGAAATAAATAACACTCAGATTTGTTAAATCCAGTTAAAAATTTTCATCGTAAAGCCTGATACAATATTATAGGTCAAGAGGTTAAATCAGACGTTAAAACCAGTCAATTGACAGGTTCAACGATTCTATTAAATATTGAGTTTCTTTGAAAAATCGGCAATTTAGCGATGATCCTCGCATTTCGCGATTACTCAAAACCTTAACGATTAACAATTAAAATCTAATATTTAATCCCTATGAAAAGAAATAAATGACACTCAGATTTGACTCCCTACCCAGCTGATCAACCGTGCTACCACCAATCGTACCTCAGATTTTTTGGGGTAGACGATGAACTTGCTGCAGCTAGTTTCGTCGATGACTCTTTCCCGTTTTTCTATTTTTCTTTTGATTTTAGGGGAAATTAAAATGATATCGATGCTAGGATTACAGAGAATTAGAATTAAGATATATAGGTTAGGTTTTTTGGAATAGACGATGAGCTCGCTCGTTGCAGCTGGTTTCGTCGATGACTCTTTCCTGGTTTTTCTATTTTTCTTTTCATTTGAGAGGAAATTTAGATGATATCGATGCTGGGATTACAGAGAATTAGAATTAAAATGTATAGGTTAGGTTTTTTGGGGTAGACGATGAACTTGCTGCAGCTAGTTTCGTCGATGACTCCTGGTTTTCCTATTTTTCTTTTAATATTAGGTGAAATTTAGATGATATCGATGCTGGGATTATCGAGAGTTAGAATTAAGACGTATAGATTAGGTTACAGTAGATAAGATTAATCGAATATTCGATACACCGTGATTCCGAGAATTTTAATTGTGATTCAGTAATGATCTACGATTGACTAGAAGTCAAGTATAGTCAGTTCAAGGTTAGAATTAGTTATTAGTGCAATTAACCCTTTGCACTCGAGAGGCGACTCTCACTCACCACTAGATTTCATACAGTAAAACTGTAAAATGTGCTATTTAATCTTATACTTCATGTAATGCACCAATTACCTCAATCCAAAATGTTAAAGTACATTCTAATTTCTAGTACAAAACTTCCGAGTGCAAAGGGTATACGTATCCTGCGCGATGAAATTGATTACTGCTGAAATTTATTATTCTCCAAGAAAAACAATTCGTCGGATTCTACAAAGTGTTCTACCCACGAAGCTTCCTAAAACAAACGCTGAGAACACAAGTCACCGAAACTCCACAATACGAGCTAAACGCTAACCGAAGAACCTCCATTTCCACCAATCCAGTTCCCAATCGACGAACACCGTTTCCAAGCTTACACGATCGTTACTCTCTAAATTA